GTCAAAAGTCAAGCAAAAATTGGACTGATATTGGGCACTATTTCAAGCACAATTTTTTGAGACGTAAATTGTACCTATAGCTCGTTCGATATTCGCGCACTGAGGTGAGTATGCTGGGCGTAGAACCTACGCCCAGCATACTCACTGAACGAAGCCTATAACTCCGAAGTTATTCGAGCACTGTTTTTTCTTTTTGGGCACCGTTTGGCACTATTTGGGAACTATTTTTTGAAGTATGAATTATGTTTGAAGCGTATACAGATTCTCCGGACGGAGGTGAGTATGCTGGGCGAAACCTTCGTCCAGCATACTCATCGAACTAAGGCTATAACTTCGCAAGTACAAGAGCACTATTTTTTTCCTTTGGGCACTATTTAGCACTATTTCAGAACAGTTTTTTGACAATTATGAAATATCAGGATTCCATGGTGAGTATGCTGGACGAAGGGACACCATTCAACGATTTCCTTCGCTTTTGTTAAATACAACGCAGTTATTACGAAATAAATCTTTTCTTTAGGTACGGGGTACTGGTACTATTCAAATTTTGCATCATGGCGTCTGGATTATTCTTAATTTGAATAAGTAACGGAGTTTGGGGTGTTTCAAGGTCCCTAATTGTTTGGTGACAAAAAGAACTTATTTGTAAATTCTGAAATGAGAAAATGTGCTCAATTTTAAATTCTTTTATTGGCTAACACGTGTACACGTATAATAATATTGGTCAGTTATATTTTTGTTCTGTTACAGTTTTTTAGAAGTTAATCAAAAAGGAACGACAGTTATTTGCTTACTATTCTAAAATACTTGTGTATTAGAAACTTGAACTAATTAATCGTGAAAACAATTTAGCCTACCTATTTATTTGAAACAATACTGCGTTACATGCAGGTACTGTAGAACAGAGAGGGTAATAGATGCAGAAGAGGGATGAATAAATACTAGAACAATTTTCCAATTTCTATTTACACCTCTTCTGTATCTATTCACCTCTTAGAGTAGGTATTTACTACCTATTTGTTTACGATATTACACAATATGAGCTACCGTATTTTTGGTCGGCAGATGGCGCAAAAATGTTGAAATTTTACATATTGGTCGTCCAATGAGGTAACATTAGCCAATTCCATATCGAACGAAGAACGAGAATTCCACAATTGCGCCATGTAGTGAACAAAATTATGGTAGGCCCCATTCTAACGAACACTTCATTGATTCGCAATGTTCTAGTATTAACAATTGTATGAAGGTCTTTTGTTATGCTGATAATAATTCTAGATTTTAAACTTTCAACTTAACAGAGGTATCTTCTAAAAGTGCCTTTGGGGAAAATCCGGTGTGATGTTATATAAAATTTGGAACACAACAAGTTCCACAGATTCACAATAAAACACCGAATTGGTTTCCACCATTTATTTGAATTTTACTAAAAAAATTGAATAAAAAATATGGTATTTCATCAACATGTTATTTAGAAATGAATAATATACAGTTGTAGAAAACATTGTCCCGTGTGGTCGCCCTGTGTTAACAATATTACTTATATTATGGTACAGTTATTATTGGTAGGTGCGACGGCCGGGCTGTCGGTCGGTTGGAGCGCCGCCCCGTGCGTCGGGAGTGTCGGGCTGTCGTCGGTCGGTCGGCGGTCGGTCGGCGGTCGGTCAGCGGTCGGTCGGGTGCGATGTGATTATGCTTCAATGGTGGGACGGCGCTTTGTGTTGTCAGTCTCACTCGCTGCTCTTAATCTAATCTTCTTCTTCGCCACTCTCGGACTCTGGAATTTCATAAAAGAGACAATTAGAAAAACAACTCATTGAAACATACCTATTTATTTTTCCAGATCTGCAACATGGAAGCAAGGTCCAGGCAGGTTCCAGTTGATCCTGAGCCGCCCTCAGTGTGTCTCAGTTACGTTTAGTATACAATAATAAACGTAACTTGAAAAAAAAAATGAATTAGTCTCTAGCTCACCTTCTTCGGCGCTCTGTAGCCACTCGACGAACTTCTTCATCTGGTCGAGGAACATCATCTTGCCCTTGCTGGAGTTAGGCTCGCGGTACCACTTGAGGATCACCTCCTCCGACAGTACGTTGGTCTTGTACAGCATCACCACCAGCTTGCTGAACGCTCGCATGAAGTTCATGTTCTCGTAACAGTACTCCTGCACCTGGACGACGGCAAAAATCAAAGTTTAATAAAATGTTTTATTAGATCTTGAAATTAAATTTTGATTACTGTTTTACGATTTCTAATTTGTCTTAAAAGATGAGAATGAGGCATAAATATAATTAAAGTTATCATAGCTATTTTTTTAGTTTCAACTCATTTTGAATATTATGTATTATCCTATTGCTGAAATGAAAAAGCGATCAATTCAAAATCTGGATTAATACGATCGGTTTACACATCACTCATGGACTTTCTGTGTCAAAAACTTCGATTAATTCGGAGATTATGAAAATAAGATCAGATATAGATTTCCGTGTAGAATTTTTTTCAGTAGAAGTTTTAAGATAAAAATTTGTTCAGTAGAAAGTTGTTCTGTATTCAGAACTACAGAACAACTTTACAAACATTAATGGGTGATTAAAAAACACATACCTTAGTCAATAATGCGATTTCAGCTTTAGCAGACTGCGCGAAGGCAGCCAGCAGTGGTGTGTAGTGACGCAAGTGTTTGGCTGCCTGCTCCGCCAGCAGTTCCTCCTTCTTGTTCCATTCGCCTCGTGACATCACACATTGCCAAATCTATCACCAAATTCACAAGTATTATTAGGAATCTGAACTTTATTGTGTACATAGTAAGGTTGTTTGTGTATTAAATCAGATTGCCACATCGTCACCGTACAAGAAGATGTCGAGACAAGCACGGAACGGACTGAAAGACTCAGTCTGAACCAGCTCGAAACGATTTCTAGTTGTACTACGACTCGTCATCGAGTATCATCATTAGAAGTGTGTTCAAAGAATATTAAATTGTTACAGGGACATATACCAGATACTTTTAAGAAGACATGTTTTACAAAGAAAAAGGTGACATAATATTATTCCTGCCGACCTCACTTGCTAAATTTTTCTCTTTGTATATATATGTAAGTAATTTCTGTATGTGTGTATGATATAAAGAATTGCATGGTACTCACAATAGCGACGACTTCGTGTTCAGGAATGGAGTGTTTGTGCGCCATGTCGCGCAGGTCCTGTATGAGGTCCCGCACAGGCTTGTCTTCGGCGAGCTCGTCCTGCAGCGCCTGCGTGAGCTCGCGGCGAGCTTCCTGCGAGGCTTGCGCGCGATGCAGGCGGAGTAACTCGCCGAGACCGCGCGACGCGAACGACGCGGCCAGCACGTCCTCGCTGCGACGGTTCAACGGCAAGAACTCCAGCAGTCTGAAGAGAAAAGAGAAAAAGACCGAGGTTATTGGTCAATTCCTTCAAAAAACAAGTAAGTACTGTTATGTTGGTGGATCACCATGAAGTAAATGAATTACCAAGTACCTAAACACCCATTATCCCCATAAAATTATCTACCTGCAATCTATTTACAGTATTGATTTTTTGAAATTACCTAAGATTTTCAAGGTCCATTTTTCACTCATGGGCAAAAAAAAATTTCACAAACTCGTTTTTATACATATCCATATGAAGTAATATTCTTTAGAGTGTAGCAACATTAATGACTATGTCGCAATAGTATGACAAGCCAGTACAATGTTTCATTGCTCTACCCTTATTGTGAAGAACGTATTCTACTGAGAATACATCCGGATGTTTAAGGGAACATTACATATTAAACCTGGATTATTTAACAATGTAATCTGAAATTTGTAGTGTCCTAAACTTACTGGAATCACTAAAATCTATAATAATATTAATGAAAATGAATTTCCGTTTGTTAGTCTTGCTACAACTCAAAAAGGGCTGAACCGATTTGGCTAATTATGGTCTTGGAAATGTTCCAGTCCAGAGAAGGTTTGAGGTGAGAAAAATATTTAGCCAGTACGAAATTCACCGGGTCAGCTAGTACCAAATAATGATTAACTTTTCAATATTTTGTGGAATGGCATGACACCAGACCAGACAGACATTATTCCAGAATCTAGATGATTGCTAAGAAAACGCGATCTGACTATTAAACCAGAAAATCTTTGCTTCATACTCGCACCAGCAAACACTACCTAAGATGTGTGTAACATTACTTCAATACAGGTTTAGACCAACTGGATCTTAAAATGAAGTTCACGATTATGACACTAACCTGCCTTCAAGCTGCCCCCGCTTGAGTGCGGTGACGAGGGATGTGACTCCTCGCTCCGCCTTCACGGTGGCGAACACTTCCAGCACAAAGTCCAGCGCCAGGTTGTCCTTCAACAAGTGCTCGTTTACTAGCACCAGCAGGACCGACGGTGGTACGCAACCATTGCCTAAAGAGATAGAAAGTGTTAATAATGTAACAATTATGTAAAACATCGTGAAAAATGCGATGTTAAAGTGTGCGTTACCCAGGCAAAATGTTTTGCTTTAGAGAGATGAGACTTAAACAAATAATTAGTGTATCATGAGGAGCAATTTGTTTACTAATAGCAAAATTTGTTTGAATTGTAGTTTTTAAGTTATTTGAGAAAAACAAATTTTGCTGGAGTAACGTTTGAAACGTTACCCAGGCAAAATAGTCTTTCAAAAATTAGTTTCAGCACGGAACCAAATACATGAATAGATAGCTTTTGTTGCGTAGTAAATGTTTATAAATAGCAAAATTTGTGTGTGGTATAGTTCTTTAGTTATTTAAGATTTTGCTGCGGTAACGTTTTGGGATTTCCCAGATCTCGAAAACGGCTCAACGCAGAAGTTTGAAAAAAATACCAATAAAAGACCTCAATTTGTTTAAATTTGTTTAATCATTAGTTTTTGATTTGGTTGACGTAAACCAATGTAATTAAATGGTTTCAAAAATCAGAAGAAACGGGTTTGCAAGTAAACCAATACACTTATAACCAAATAAACAGCTGTAAAAAATACCCGTGGTTCGACGCTTGTTTACAGCAGACATTTTAGATTTCATACTTTACACGTTAAGAAGATAAAAACAAATTTGATTTATTTTAGACTGGTCGTACTTTAGCGATCGAATACGCAGTTCCCATAACATTAAGAAACATGGCATACTTTAAACAAATTAAAATGATTCATGAAAATTCCTTCCTGTTAATTTCAGCCTTGAATTACGGCTCTAATGAAAGTTATCTCAAAAACAAGAATATGTCAGCAATTCTCTAATAAGCCGACCAAATTGAAAAGGTCACGTAAAAGCGACTGCACCGTACGTACGGGTAATCTTCGCAAATTAGCAGCTTGGTAACCGATGTTTTGTACAGTTAAGCAGAAAAACGTTATTCGTGAAGCCGATTTTTTAATATTTTTTAAGTGCAGTACCATATTACACAATTTTTACTAGTTAATGCCAATTAAAATGCCATACTGTGAGTCGAGGTGAAATGGAGTCCACCTATCAACCTACGTTATTAGTACCTCCTAAGGAAAATTGTACAAACTATTAATGTATCCAAATATTAAAATTAAGTAAGTAGGTTATAACTTATCTGTGATTTTTCTCTAAAAATGTTGATGCTAAGGCAAAGCAATACATATAATTTGTATGAGACTGATTTTTTAAATAAAAATAATGAATCTTAACCATTTTATTATTTTAACTAACCTGACCAGAAAACTTTTGTATTCAACTGTACTAACAAAACATCTATATTATCCTGTTCATTTCAGATGGTTGCGCTTATGTATGGTGCGGTCGCTTTTATGTGACCTTTTCAATTTGGTCGGCTCATTAGAGAATTGCTGACATAATCTTGTTTTTGAGATAACTTTCATTAGAGCCGTAATTCAAAGCTGCAATTAACAGGAAGGAATTTTCAGGAATCATTTTAATTTGTTTAAAGTATGCCATGTTTCTTAATGTTATGGGAACTGCGTATTTGATCGCTAAAGTACGACCAGTCTAAAATAAATCAAATTTGTTTTTATCTTCTTAATGTGTAAAGTATGAAATCTAATATTTCTGATGTAAACAAGCGTCGAACCACGGGTATTTTTTACAGCTGTTTATTTGGTTATAAGTGTATTGGTTTACTTGCAAACCCGTTTCTTCTGATTTTTGAAACCATTTAATTACATTGGTTTACGTCAACCAAATCAAAAACTAATGATTAAACAAATTTAAACAAATTGAGGTCTTTTATTGGTATTTTTTTCAAACTTCTGCGTTGAGCCGTTTTCGAGATCTGGGAAATCCCAAAACGTTACCGCAGCAAAATCTTAAATAACTAAAGAACTATACCACACACAAATTTTGCTATTTATAAACATTTACTACGCAACAAAAGCTATCTATTCATGTATTTGGTTCCGTGCTGAAACTAATTTTTGAAAGACTATTTTGCCTGGGTAACGTTTCAAACGTTACTCCAGCAAAATTTGTTTTTCTCAAATAACTTAAAAACTACAATTCAAACAAATTTTGCTATTAGTAAACAAATTGCTCCTCATGATACACTAATTATTTGTTTAAGTCTCATCTCTCTAAAGCAAAACATTTTGCCTGGGTAACGCACACGATGTTAAAATTAAAATATATTTGTTTTCTAAATAGGCTAGAAAATAACAATTGTCAATATTTTTTGATATTAGCTAGATGAGGTATGGAAAATAACATCATTACAAAGACGACTTGACTATCACGCTTCCATGTTTTATGACAAAGTTTAAACTTCCATAAACTCTTAGCTAATGAAAGTTTGTCAAATAATTTGAATAATTTATTATACAGTAAATTAGTTCCCAAATAAAAACCTATCTATAATATTCCGCTATAAACAAAAAATGTCGTGCGGCCACACCTAGTTCACGTATAGAAACACGATCTAATTGAATGGCCACACTTTTCTATAGCACTACTTGGACACCACGCAACGCAGTCAACGTTACATGGCTCTAATCGTGTGCAAACCTCTCACAAAAAGAGCTGCGTGTGGGTCGGGATCGAACTCGCGGACACGAGCACGGCAGTTGTAGCTTTTGTAATAGAGCCACGAAAACTTTGGAGTATGGATTGAAATAGATATGCTCATACTAGTAGAAATATTGCACATCACAGTCATTCATGATATTGGATTTGAAACAAGTAACTCATGTTCTGGGATCCTATCCCATAGAGAAAGTTCAGTAGTTAACATATTCAAATATTCGTCATTCAAACAATGTTTATTTTGTAGGAAAAAGACAATTATATACGTGAATATTTTAAAATTAACTAGACGGGTACTATTTTTTGTTAAAAAGCACATATTAGGTATGTGTATGTAATTCACGTAGTAAGAAACTCACCGATCCATAGTGCAGTCATACGAGCAAGCTTGATGCGCTGCAGTGGCTCGAAACCCTTGAGGTACACCAGCACCTTTAACAATACACCAATTACATCATGATTACCTCTGATGATCAAGCTCATTATCTTGGCTAGAAGCCTATGTCCAGCTGTAGATGGAAACTGATTATGATTGTTAACTCATTAATAGAATCTTCGCGACTTTTTATTGGGAAAAGCAAATAAACAGATATATCGTTTGATGGCAAGCGATTAGTGCGGGCGTCCATGGGCAGTCCGCAGTGTTAATCGTTAGAGGAGTAATAAACGCGTAGCCGGCCGATGAAAGTTTTTGTAGCAGACTATAAAGGCAATGTTTCTATTAACCCGTTGAAATCCATCTCCAAATTTGGTCATACAAAAGTAGTCTCTAAACATTAGAAATAAGGTTTATAATGTAATGTATATTAGTGGAAAGCGGTCACCGGTGACCGCTTGGGGGATTTATGGGTTAACTTCATTTTAATACATAATTTATAAATTGGATATTATTAGATAAAAGTACCACGAAAATAATTAAACTAGTGACAGGTGATTTAAAAATAATGGTTGTGTAAACATTATTGTCGGATTTCGTGAAATCGATTCCAACTTGATTGGATACCGTAGAACAGTTACGTTGCAAGTTAGTTTGGCTGGGTGCCAACTCATGATAGTAACTTGAATGTTTTACGTAAATTCAAACAATTATGTATTACAATCTACATAAAGAGTTTGCCACTATATCTAATAAACATAAAGAAACAAGTTTTGGAAACTGTGTAAAAGGTTCAGGGCCTTTAGCCAAACGCGACTTTAGCGCTTGTCTACAGAGAGTAGAAATCAAAATGTATGGGGATGACACTGACAAGTGTCAAAATTTACTTCAATTCCATATATATTGGTTTTCTATTGTACATGTAGACAAGCGTTAAATGGCATTTGGATACAGCTGCAGGTTTATCAGAGAGTGCTGCTGCCTAAACTCCTGGTCGGTCCATACGACAACTGCGGTTATTTTGTGGGTAATGACTAATACATCAACGCTGTTTTAATAATAACTTGAGACATGCTGAATTAACTATTCATGAGGAAGAGTCCCTCTGTGACTCGGAAACTAGTAGAGCGTTTCTCAGTATTTACGTGACTACCTAACTCGTAATTTTTGGTTAATATCTTACTCTGTCGTCATTTAACGTTTTCTCCAAGAATAACACATCAAACTCCTTTTTATTATATATATATAAGTATTAACAGTTTAGTAACTTTTCTCAAACAATAAACAAGGCTTACCTTTTTCATCTCCTCCTCAAACATCTTTTCCAAGTATTTGTAACGTCTCATGAGCTTCACAAATACCTGTAAACAATTATTTAATGCATTAGTACCCGTGTGTGGCCAATATATGCTAATTTGTTGTAAGATGATGTCAGATAAATACGAACGAGAAAGGGTTTCTCAACACAAGTGTTCAGGACTCTAGCCATGTCTTTCATCATGTAAACAGATTTTATTGATTTGGTGTTCATTGGGATTTTTTAAGAAAATACTTATTTTCTTATGTAGTTCTGTAGTATACTACTATCCAAGTTAAGTAACTTGGATGAAATTTAAAAATAATGATGTTCTATAATTAGCTGTGATCAAGATTTTACTGTTTTTTTTTAAGTGACATTCTTTAGCCGGTACATTATAAAGCCATTTACTTATGTCCAACTTTTATAGTTTAGTAGTAAACTACAATAAATGCACATTTCCATACAAAAACCTACATTTTACATAAAAGATACGTAACGTACCTGTTCAAAGTTTCGCATGGAATCCATGTCCTCGTTTGCGGTGAAGATGCAGGTGTTAGTCTTCGGGGATTCGCCGTCCATCGACACCGAACCGCCGGGGACTAGTAGAAATAGAGCTCCGTTAGTATGAAATATAGGTACCAGAGATGGGCCAAGATGTATTGGTTATAAATCAGAGATAAAAACGAACGAACAGGTTTTGTCCACATTTATTTCAGGACTCTAGCCAAGTGTTTCATCATGTGAAATTATTGGTGGTAGTATGTATCTCATCAGATTGGATAAGTTGTTGTAAGCAGCCTATAAAATTCATCATCATGTCGGTCACAATACATTCACTCCTCAACATAGGCCTCTCCCAATTACTCCCCGATTGGCAGGTTGAAAACGACCTGCATCTTACAATTTGACAATACAATGACAAAAAGCTAGGTGACCGGTGACAAATGCATTGTTGTCCCTTCGGACAGCTAAATAAACATTAACATAACCTCAAAATTTGTATAGGCTTCATACTTCCACCACACTGAACCCTGAAAGATGGCCAGGCGCACTGGCCAATAGTAATCAAAGGGTAACTTACGCAGAAGCCCCCCGGCGATGAGCACGTCAAATATGACCTCGCCATAGCGCCGATAGTCGAGTTTCGAGCCAGCCGCGTCTAAGAACTTGTACGCCGCGTCAAGGTCACCGCCGGCGCGCTCCAGACCTTGCACGAGCGCGTCGCGGAAGCCGTTCGGATCGTACTTCTCTTTCTCATCTGGAAAAAAGAAAAAGTTTATTATATAACAGAATCTTTAGCTTAAACATGAAGTTATGTGACGATGAACTTTCAATTTGGAAAAGGTTAGGTTATGCAAACATAAATAGGTCAATGTACCATTTGGCAACTAGATTTCATCACTATCACTTTGTAATAAAGTCGAAAATCTAAAACTAACTTGAAACATTGTAGATAGGTTGACGTGCTAGCGTCAGTACAAAGTTACATCAGTTACATGATTGGACGGTGCCCTCAATTCGGAAAATGCTAGCTTAGCCGTGCGAGCCTTGAATATAACGCTTGGTAACGAAAAAGGACAGGATTTTGATAACATGCCAGGAAACAGAATAAACCTCGCCTTGGCAAACGTGACATTAGGTTTCATTATCTAGCTAAAATGATATTTGTTCAATGGATATTAAGGCTAATGACAATGTTGCCGCATGTATCTAATACACAAATTCATTTGTATCTTAGTAACTTACCCGTTAATTTCCATATAAATAAATAATTAATACAGTGATTTTAGATATTAGCACTTAACCTCAAAATGTTTAAGCTTACAACTCTACAACTTTGTAGCAGCAATTCCATTGGAGTATTTGCCAAGACTACTTCGATTTCAAGTTATCTTGGCGACCTACTTTTAGGTTGGTACGATAGTACAAGGCGGTTGGCCAGTTTACTGATAATTTCCTTTAAAAAAAGTATCAGCCAACGGCAAACGATTGCGTTTAAGGAAGTAATTTAAAGCTTATTGTTATCATACTAAGGTTGAAACTGATAAGAGACGTAGAAACGACTGTTTGGACATGTACTTAGTCCGTTACGTAATGAAAATATGCTACTTAGGGCCGATTTTAGCAAACGCCAGATAAATCACTTTAAATATCTCATTTCTTCAACTGTCACTTTGTTAAATATACAAGGAGGCACATCAAGTAACAAAGATTAGGGGTCTTCAACCTCTAGTTTTATGTATTAGCAGTTTATAATCATTACTTAACTTAGAAAATTAAGTATTTGCCAAAATAAATAACTATTTCTAAATTAAATTATAAGTTTAGAAGTTCCTCTCATAGTCATGGCAATTGCTCATAAGATAGCAATGATGGGCCCACAAAGGTTGTTAACTTTCTAACATTAAGCTGATTTATTATACCCGTGGGATCAGCAGGTCCAAGTTTATCGCGCAAGATTCATATACATAACTTTCACTGGGTATAAAATTAATAAATCACATATCTGCTAACAGAGTTAAGAATGTCAAAAGGTCGATTGGATTCCATATAATTACAACGTTATTGATTTTTATCATGCTTCATGATTACTTTCTTTATAATTTCTCGCTAACTTATCAAATAAATAATGAACCATGTATTTTCTTTTTTTTTGTATAGGAGGCAAATGAGCAGACGGATCACCTGATGGTAAGCGATCAGCGCCGCAAATGGACACCCACAACACCAAAGGAGTCACAGGTCCTGAGAAGCGTACTTAAAGCTGGGTATAGTTTATTTTTATAATTTTCATGTGTATCCAATTCTAAACAATTATTTTAGTGGCCAAAACAAAAAGCTGTTTATTGACATAAACATGGCAATGTGCCAAAATTAGAACAATTGTCGAGTTTGGCAAAAATCCGTACAATCGTGTATTTGACATGGAGGTGAGAAATTTTGATTATATTAGGTAGTGGCGAAGGTCAACCGTGGATACTAAAGACAATGAAGATAACAAAAGAATATAATTATAACAAATAACATTAATGGATTATACGATAATAAGTCCCGCATATTATCTGATTATGGTGATTTTGTGCTTGAAGAAGGCCCTACTAACAAACTTTATAAATAAAAAAGGAAGTAAATTATACTTCGCCTTACAATACAAACATGACCAAAATGTTATCTTGTTAAATGCTATGTAGTTAGTAGTCAGCTATCTACAACAAAATAAATGTTTGGCCTTGCCATTTCTCGTCGTTTTGGTGTCTTTTGTAATTACATAAGTCTGACCAATGCCAATGTCGAATGTTATTTATGCGAACTCTATAGTACAGGTAGCATTATTATGTAAATTAGTAATTTACCGATTCTAGATTTAATTTCACGAGAAGCCATTTTCACGACAGAATTGTATTGTTGTCAGTTAAAATTTGGTTTGATAACAGGAATTTTCGAAACTGGTACTTATTGGTATTTTATTAGTGTCGGGAAGCCTTTTAACTCGTCGAGTACCGGTTTTGTAGACACAATTATAGAACAATAGGTTGCGGTCACCGGTGACCGCTTGGTGTTTGACAGTTTAATTGTATTAACTCGTTGAGTACCGTCATTATAGACCCGGTGTCCTCGCGGTGTTTCACAGTTTAAAACCTTAATTTCTTGCCAATTTAGAAAATACATTACTACATTACAAACGTTTTTTTTTACTCATTCATTAGAGCAAGTCAAAACATGACGGTTTTAGTAGAAAAACTTCCGTGACATTGAATTTTATTTGTCTTGTGATAGCAGATGATAAAAATGGGTATTTAATTCAGGTGTAACACAGACCTAGTTACTTAACTTATAATTATAAATCAGTTTTTTTTTAAGTAAAAACGCGGGTTACTCACGTGAATATACTGAGAAAAGCTCTACTAGTTTCGAACCACAGAGCCGCGACCGCGCACGCTGCTCATGAGGAAGAACCCCTCTGTGGTTCTTCTTCTCTTTTCTCAGTATATTCACGTGAGTAACACGCGTTTTTACTTAATGTTATGTTATGTTGAATTTATTTATATCATGTTACTAAAATTCACAGGTTAGAAAAACAAGAAGAAGGTTCAGCGATGGTGATGCGAGTGCACCGCTTTATAAACAAATGGTACAAGCAAAACCGTCGGCCGCTCAGCTACTTCCACGCCGTGCTCGACCCCACCAGCTTCAGTCGGAGCGTGGAGAATATCTACAATGTCTCTTTCCTTGTCAGAGATGGGAAGGTCTCTATTACATTAGGTGAGTCAAAAACTCAAACGAAAAGAATTCATTTCAAATAAACCATAAATTGGTACTTTTGAAACGTCAACAACATAACATTACGCCTTTTATCCTCGAAGGGGTAGGCAGAAGTGCACATTATACCACTGTACAATGTAACACCCACTTTTCACTATTTATGTTATGAGTCCCATGTAATGACTAGTTTCGAACCACAGAGGGGTTCTTCCTCATGAGCAGCGTGCGCGGTCGCGGCTCTGTGGTTCGAAACTAGTAGAGCTTTTCTCAGTATATTCACGTGAGTAACCCGCGTTTTTACTTGATTTAGTATGTCTCACGATAGTTATTATGAAAACACAGTTTTTTTTTGCTTAGCAACAAGCAGCTCTATTAACAAATATACAATAATTTACAACAAAATATCTTCAGGGTTTTTCGGGATTACTTAATATTTTTATAACCTCAAAAAATGTTTCATAAGCAAGTATTAAAAAACTCCAATTAACCACGCCTACGAAAATTGTTCGAGGCTCAAATCTTAGAAACTCCTAAACAGTTTATAATTAAAAGTTTCGGCGGTCGAGTTTGAAGGACGAGACACGAACGTCAAAGGTTCGTCAGAATGACGCTCCGTGCCTAAAATGGACAAGTTGAGAATAATAATTTGGAATTACAAGTGCTATTTTTAGCAACCATCTACTAATTTGTTTAACTTAACCGTCTGTAATGTAAACCGTAAAGGAAAATTTGAGTTTGTAAAAAGATTTATTTGAGTATAGTATCGTGCCGTTTACCACTGAACTATTATTTAATTTTCATAAAATGTCTACCTTCCTGGGTAGGAGAAATTAATTGTCTCTTTTGAAGTTCCTGTGTGAAACTATTATGTAAAGAATTGCACTCCAAATCAATCAATAGATTCTCATGAATCATTTAGTGACTCCTCGTGAGTCAATCTTAAATAATGAGTCAATCAAAGTATTTTACCAATGATGACCAAAAGCTAACATGGAAACAAGGCCAACCAGTATTGCCCAACCGGTAAAATTTTAAACTTAACATCACAGCTTATTTAAAAAAAAGAAATAGTTACAGTAAAAAATAGTTTGAATGTGGATCAAAAATTTGAAGAGTTTTCGGATAAAAATGGCAGCTGTCGTTAACTCCGAGTAATGTTGCATGTAAAAGTAAAATAAAAAGTTGTATAACAGTTTGAAAGCTCCTTATAAGCGAGCAACTGTACGGATGGTACCGCTAGTGTGTGTACCGTTACGTTTTGTTAGCGTCTGTCAGTGGAATATTACTGGAGACCGCGTCAACTGATCGGCACTGGGTAGCAGTATACAGACAACTAATTTAGATGATATACTTAATATTGTCAGTAAAGGGACTGTTTTGTTGGCTAGTATTAGGGATTCAGGACAGAATGTTCTAGGTAGCAGGCTTAGCAGCAGTAGAAATGGCCACAAAAGGTTCAAGTTTAATAATGTAACATTTCCCACAATTCAGAATAGGTAGTGATGTCGTAAACTCTGAATAACTTGAGCAGATGTTTGCACGAGGCTTACATGAACACTGCTGTAACGGCCAGGGGCCGGGGCCGGGACCGTCACGTGTGTGGGAACGGGATGTTGCCCTGGCTCGAATATATAACTTGTATTATGTAGATTAAATCGCAAGATAACGTAGGCAATAAAGGATTTTCTTACTGAAATCTTTCAAGTGGGAAGAATGACAGATTTTATGAGTCAAGTTACTAAATATAATTGTGTCAAAAACTTATAAATATGTATTCGGAACTTTCCAGAAATTGTGTCGCTTCAAGGCGTGGGGAGGTAAGTTGAGCAACCGACCCGATTCCTCAAGGATTGTAATTACGTAAGCAATGTTTAAATTCCAAGATTCCGTACAAAGGAAGATATTTGCCGTGTGGAAATAAGTTGCCTACTTTGAATTGACGTATTTGTAAGACTAAAGCTTTAAGATCTTGGCTGGCATTATATAAAATGCAATCGTTATTCAATTTAAAATACAGGAAAACACCGGTTGGATGTCAACAGGAAAATTGCAGACGAATATAATAATATGGACTTGGGACTGATAATGTTGATATTATTTATTCAAAATAAAACTACTGCGCCGTGTAACTAGTTTTTCTGTTTACTACACTGTGCGAAGAAGTACCATATAAGAATATGTGCCTTTATGGATATAGGCAGTTCTATGAATTGTACTATTGTACTGTTTTGTAATTGTACAATTTGAATATACAAACTACACACTTGGACGACAAGGGAGATCTTTAAAATGGGATTTTCGGTTAAGAAATACATCAAAAGATTTATCGATCTAGTTATTTCTGTATCAAATCCCTACAATATTATATTAGAATTGGGCTAATTTAATATTATTGAGTTAAAAACGGTGGAGTAATCGGTGAACACACAAAAATAAAACAATCATTCGAACCTCCTTTTTTAAAGAGGGTAAAAAGTATATAGGGATAAAACCAGTGGCGTTCAACGACGGCTGGAAGTGATATTTGTGTCCAATGCAACGACTGACGTCACTTACAGAGCAAATGTTCTCGACCCTACACTACATTCCTATTTGGGAATTCGGGATAAATGGGGCAAACTTGTTACGCAACACGTATTCCAACTAGATCATTTGGAGAGTAACAGAGACTTGTGTGAAAATATAGTAAGTTACGCTTTTTTCCCCTTATCAAAGAGAAGGACTTAAGATGAAGCTTAGTTTAGCTTGAACTATAACAAATTCATGATTTGCAAATATGAAGTTATGATAGAAACAAAGGTATAGAATATATTTCGTTTTCTAAGGTCGAAGTACACGATGCGAGAAGCCAGAAAAGATAAACTACCGTAGCTACAACTATGCAAGCTGTACAAAATGTTAGCAAGATAACGAAATATCAAGTTAGGTACGGAGCGGCTAATTCCTGCAATAGTTTGCATAATTTATGCAGCGAAGGAAGGTTGACCTCATTCGGACTGGCTCGGTCCCTTGACTCTAATTGGATAGATAATTTTATTTACAGAAGGTAGCAACTATTTATTGGATATATTTTCACGATTTTTCCGAATTCCATTATGGTGAACATGATTTTTACTGGGTGATGTTTTAAAATTGACTTTATGAATGATGTTTAGATTTGTATAACGCGAATTGTTAAATTTTAATGTGAGAGGATGAAGAAATAATGACGATCTAAGATGGAGATTGTGGTAAGGAATTGTATGAAAGAGAATGTAACTTTGGAAGGACAATAAAACGTAGGATAAGGAGGACCATTTAAGTTTAGATACAAAATATTTGGGTTGGTAATTTAATAAACAAGCTCAACAACGATGAAAATCCAATGATTCAGAACAAGCGCCTACTGACGAAAGTGTTCTGGGAAACATGATTCATTGTAAGATAAGGGTGCAGTACATGTTTAATGACTTGTATTTCAATGCCTAATTACTAGACGAAGATACGATAGACTATCATTCACGACGTTTAGGAATAAAGTATAGAAAAAAAAGCGACATTGCAAAAAACGTGAGATCAATGATGCAGCGGCGTGCTTGTCCAAAAAAATGGTACCATAGACATTCTAGTAGTGATATCAAAGGTAACATCAAAAGAATGCAAGCTTTACCTGCACGGAGGAAAACGCAAAGGATCAAACTTTATGGCATGATTATGCCTATTTTCTGAAGTTTTGAGTAAGCCTAAAACTGGAGAGAAAGACTATCTATCCTCAAAACTAGGTGTCAAATACTTAAATGGCCTTAAATGACCTGTCATAGTGTTGAATAAGTTTTTAATTCTAAGTAGGTAGGAACGCGAGTAAAACCGCGTCAAAAGTTAGTTGACAAAATAAATAGACACATGACAATGTTTTTAGATCAGGACAATCGTGCGGTTGTCCAGTGCAAAGTCCAAGCTATATTTGTCAACACAAGGGCCACTTTTAACAATTGCGAGTGTCCAGCAATTTAGTTTATTTGCGTCACGCTTCTAGATATTATCACAATTAAAATGACTTTGTAAATTACAGTGGAAAACTCTTCTCATTGTAAATAATACGTTTTTATTGTGTTTTTTATTGGATGAGGTTATTTTAATTTTATTATTCTCGCGACGTCATCACGATTTTTATAAAATCCTTAATAATGTCTCAAGATATTGTTATATTACTAACTGGGTAAATATTTTAAGTTACTAAAAAACTATAGAACTGCTTTGTTATTGGAGGTTATATTGAACAAATACTAAATCAATCATACATAATAGTATGGCTAGGTGACTGGATGTTTTTTCAAAAGGCATTGAACTTTAAAGTTCAACAACCTGATGTTTAATTATACTAAAAACCTGACTAAGCTTAATATGAAAACACGGATTAATTTATAAAAGAGGAAATAAACAACAAAAGGAAATAATATAGTAAAACTTTGAAGTCTAAATGGAGGATAAAATATATGGATTTCTGCTATGACAATATCAGACTAAATTCAATATGAATAGAATTTTACTAAAATTATAATGTAAAAAGGTCAAAAAACAGTTTAAAAAATATGTCTGTTCAGTTCTGCGTGGAAAGTGTTTCGTCACAACATTTTACAGTTCCAAATTGCCAAGAGAAAGTCAATTCTATTGTGATTGAGGTCACAATACCTCAACTTGCCAGTTGCTGTAGGCTGAATACATCAATTGTCAATGCCAGAATAAAAGTAGTAGGATGTGTCTATTTGACTTGAATGGCTTGTCTATGAAAAAACCTTGTATGCACACAATATAACCTAATTCTTTTGTAACTTATGAAAATAAATAGATTTTGTTGATAGGTAATTTTGGGTTTATATGTTCCACAGATTTACGAATGGGTCAATGAATAAATATTTAGAATTACACAATGAATTTAGTTATTAATGATTTAGTTAGTTTTTATAATACAATAATAAGAATTACTAATGTATTTTATTGAAAACAACAAAATATGTATACATTTTTAAATTAGAACAAAACATTTGCTACTTCTAACTTTCAAAATTTTGAGCATTGATTTATTGATGAAATTATTCGGTAACCAAGAATATTTTGTAGATACTATACTTCTTAAAGGTACCTGTATCAAGTAGGTATTTGAGAGACAATATGAATGATAAAGTATGTACTCCACAAAATACAATACAAAGTGTTTTCGATGAAATTGGAAAATATGTATTGTATGACTGGAAAATACAATTTCATTTGAGTGGGCAGATACTTGAACATCGAGTGGTAATTAAATGGCACAGTAAGTAATTGTTTGCGAAACTACAGCATGTGGCCTACTTCCTCAATGATTACCAACATTCTACAAAGAAACATGCCTAGGAAATTAATGCCTAGTACAATGTCACGGCCAAGGCGAACGTTATTAAATTAACGACTCGATGTTTATACGCCAAACTCGTCTTCCACCCAATACAAGATTAGCTAACTTCGAATAACTTGACCCGGGACGCAAACAAGGAATCTGGGCATGTGTCCAAATTTCAAGTTAAAAATCACTTACCTCTTTTTCTGGTCTTGATCCGTTGACCCGATAATACTGGTTTTTCTACCTTCTGACTCATACAATATATTGCTGAAAAGAACAACACGTGGCAATTAATAAAGGTCCATTCCGTTATAAGGTCATCGCCCGCGGTGCGCCACGCAACCCCAGGCTCGACCCTTCGTCCTACTGTTATGGCGTCCAAATTCCCAAATACGCTTCACTTACTTCTAGTAAATCGGCACTGCTGAATCAATTTCCAGAAGGAATATTCCACAACCCGATAACGAGATCACCTGGCTATGACTCAGCAAGGACTCCAAGGAGTTTAGATTCACGAATCTCAATATGAACAAAGCAACGACACGCTAAAAAGTAGTATGTGCACTGATACTTACATATTGACAGGTTATGTAGGAGCCTTTTACTCCTTTTGCGAGTTCTCTAGGACTGCGCCTGTTCAGAAAAGAAAGAAACGCTGCGACGATCTCTATTCCCCTGTGCTAGAGACAACGTGTGTGGCTATGGAGTCGCCGGATTTCCGGTTGAGTCGCGACGATCGATTCAAATCTGCTGGAGCCTTTTCCTTTCTAAAGTATTATGCTGATACCTTTCAAACAATATGATTAGTACTGTTTCTGGGATTTACTTATATTTATGTAAAATAACTGAAGTAAGCACGTATTACGCTCCGAAGAGACAGAAATGCGTCGAAAGACAAAACAATAAAAATTTACAATATTGTCATATATCAGCACAATCTAAAGTTTAATAAAAATAAAAATATTTTAAAAGACGACACAATAAATTTGATAAATTTTGTATCACTTTATTAAAAAATCACAATTTGAATGGAAAGTATTTGACTAAAAATGGCAGAAAAAACAAAACACCATAGACATTTTTTACTTTTAAACATATGACCTGCGCGAGCACGGGTATTCACTTATGCTTACTTCCCGCAAAATTAGAATGATAAATGTTTTAAAACTGATTGCAAACATAATAACATTTAACAAAATGAATTAATGACGACAAATATAGCTAAAATTAAAATTTTATCTTACATTTTAAAGTTCGTTTCATCGAAGAACAGATTATTTATTTGTTATCTATAATACGTTTCGTTTCAGCTGTCAGTGTTTTGTTATTTTAGGTTAGAAAATATGTTGGTGTTTCGGAAAATAATTAATGTGAGATATGTAATGGATTAATAGTTTTCCTTAACTAAAAAATATTCAATACTATCTTTTTGGTAGTAACCTAACCAACAAATATTATTATAAGAACAATGATGGCGAACTCTTTAGTTGCAAAGGTATTTTTTCGAAATATAAATGTTCTCTTAAAGCTTAGCTTAATTTTATGTAAGAAACCCTGAGGTACAAACAAAATATTAAGTCGTCGCTACATAACTCGTTACACAAACTTTTGTTTAAAACATAACCTGATAATTTAAAACCAGATCAGATTGGTTTGATAATAAAAATGATATTGCTGTTTCAGATGAGCGCTCTGCGCATAGTCCCAGTTATTTTAACACAGCCGTCGCGTACTACTACAACGAAACATTATATACCAAAGTTCAAGAAGCTCAGGGCTCAGAAATACCTGAAGGTTGAATTACCGGATCCAAATGAAGACTTTGGTTCACTCAGCTCGAGTAAGATCAGGCAGAAGATGAAGGAGCGCGGCATTTTGCCACCGAGACCTTGGATGGAGCGACCCTTTTACATTTCTGCTACGGGTAACAATGTGAACTTTATTATTGCGGAGCAAATAAGTCATGTATTAACTCATGGTGTAAATAGATCCATAATAATTGATTGTTAGTCACGTGAATATACTGAGAAAAGCTCTACTAGTTTCAAACAACAGAATGGTTTTTTTATATAAGCGGGTTATGTTCATGTGAGTAACCCGCCGATTTTTAGTTAATTTAGTATGTTTCACGATAGTTATTATAAAAACATAATTGGTTGTTTGTGGGTTAATCTTGGGTCTAACTTGCTGCCGTCCAACCTGTTGTAGGTTCAATGCTCGGACGGAACAACTCGGTGTGATCCATAAATTATTGTTCCGGGCCTGGGTGTCATGTGTATGTGAACTTGTATGTTTGTAAACGCACCCACAACACATAAGAAAATCCTAGTGTAGGGAGGAAAAATTACGTAAAATTTAAAATTTAAATAAGTGCTAAATTACAACTGTTGTAAAATTACAGGTGGTGTTTTTGAACCCTACGTTCCACCAGAAGGTGATGGCAAAGCCTCTCTGGTCTCCCCCACACGTGCCAAGCAAGCTGTAGAACTTCTCGAAAAGAAATCAAAGTCCATGATGGCGATACGGAAAATTAAATCTTATGAAGAGGAATTTGATCAAAAGGAGTTTGTTCTAAAAGCTCAAGACACTTATATCAAGGCTCACGAAAGTCTCGCAAACAACGATAAAAGGGCTCTGAGAACTTATGTGACAGAAAAGGCATATCCAGAATTCAGACATAATTCTCATCAGAAAACTATCAGGTGGAAGTTTATTGAGTCGCTGGAGCCCCCCAGAGTGGTGCATGCACGGTGCACTGATATTGTTAGCAAGGAGAATATATTTGGACAGGTTTGTTTATAGTTTTCATAGTTTTAAATGCTACAATTTCTTGATGATCTATTTCCAATCATCCTAATGTAATGATCTCATCCAAATTCTTCTTCATCATGTTTGCTTTGCTAAATGTCCATATTCTGTATGAAATATGACCTCTAAAACTAGCCAGGCCTACATTCTTGTCAAATATGACATAAAAATATAGAGATAAAAAACATTCTCTCAACGACACAGTTGAGACAATTTCTTTTACCTCTTTTCAATAAATTCATCCAGTCTTATTGAATATTTGTCATGTAAGCTCACAAATATGTATTATACAGGTCACAGTCCGCTTCCACACACGCCAACAGCTTGCAGTCTACGATCGATTCGGTCGCCTTCTACACGGCAGCGAGATCTTATCTAAAGATGTTCTAGAATACATAGTTTTTGAGAAACATCTGTCCAATCTGTACGGAACTTGGCGTATCCATGATAAGATCATCCCTGATTGGACTCCACCCAAGGAACCTTCCAAGTTGACCAGGGTCATGCCTGAACCGGAGCCAGAAGTTGTCAAAGTTGAGGGTACAGAGACAACAGAGCCTGCAGCTACGACCACAACACCTGAACTTACGGCGAAACCTGCAGCGCCCGCTATCGCTGATAAATGAGTTGTAGATTTGTAAATAAAATGTAGTGTACAGTAGTTTTTGAGGTTTTATTTTCCAGTTCCGTAGTGAGAATGTTAAGTATTTTGTAAGACGATTATTTCCTTACAGAAAGTAGGTATTCTATTTGAATTTAGCACAATATTACTAATTGTTATTCTATGATTCCATGTTGTTAACCATGGAGTTTTACGCCATCTATCGATCAAAAACCTTTAATTCTATCATCTAGCTAGATTGCTAGATGGCGTCATCACTACATTTGAGCCAGTTCTTTGCACTACTCTTACTATTGGTAAAAAAATCAAACACAAATCTTCAACAAATGAGCTTCAACAATCCCCTTTAATTCGTCATTGTCGACTAAAGTCGAAAGAAGATTCGCCTTTTAAACAAATTGAATATTTTTCTATTTAATGAAATAACTTTTAAGCTATGTATTATTTTGGTTTTTTATTGCACAACAAATTTAAACTAATTCCTAAGAAGCCATGAACAAAATATGATAAGAATCCGCTTAACCATTTCAAAGATCTAGCAAAACCATAAACGTTACCCCAGCAGAATCTGGAATAACTTCGCAACCGATGAAAGAACAAATACAAAATAAGGCACAACATTTACTTCATCTAGGCAACTAATTTTATAGCTAGTAATTATTTAAATATTCCCATTGGAAATAAAAAGGTCTGGCTGGGGTAACGTTACCCCAACAGGAAATGTTTTTGTGAAATAATTAAAAACTATAAGTGCAACAAATTAAAAAATGTGCGCAACAGTTACGGAAGCCTCACAACTAATTATCCATAAGATTCAAATGACCATTTTCGACAACATCTGGCCTGAGTAACGCACACTCATATTCCATAACATAACATAACATCATGCCTTTTATCTCCAAAAAAGTAGGCAGAGGTGCACATTACAGCACTTAATGCCACTGTGTAATAAAACACCCAATTTTTACTATTTATGTTATGAGTCCTATGTAATAGGGGTGAGCTTATTGCCATATACCGGGTACAATTCCAAATTCCGTGCTCCTACCGAAATGTTTTTTTAAAAACTCTCTGGCACTGCCCGACACAGGACTCGAACCCGAGACCCCTTTGCGATCACTCGGCCAACGAAGCAGTCATATTCCATTTAATTACTCGAATTTTAGATGAGAAATGAGATGAAAATGTAACACTAATCAATTAACAAATGCCTACATTCGGAAAAAAATCGTGTTTTTATAATAAAACTCATTTGATATTAGAATTCTTAGCCAAACAGAAATTATTTGGTGTTGAAATGACCAGTACCAATTTCATAGGTAAAAACCAAAGTTATAATAAGTAAAGTACGGTAGGGTAAAGACTTATGTAAAGAGAGTGCACGACTTGTAAGACTGGAATTAATTCATATCAGACCATTTATTCAGCGCCATTCGTAGTGTCCGTCTCGCTATCACAGTCCAACATAACATACATTCACACATATTATTTTCTTAAATCTTTCTTGTAGTAGACGAATAGGCAGAGGGTATCAACAAGTAATGAAATGAAACCAACAAATCTTATCAATAATAATTTTATTTCAATAAAATCTATTCACAGCGAAATAATTCGCTTTGATCTAAATAAATTATTTACTTGACTATTGGGCAAACGTTTCTGTTAGTAGGAATATGAAACTGATTCTAAACTTAACAAAGTTTCAAAGACAAGAAAATAATTCACTGAATAAATGTTATTATTTTTTCTGACATTCAACTCTAAAGCGTTGGGACTAAATCACAAAATTCTATGTACACAAGCCACACGTCAATCTATACAAGACCATTTTATCCTGGTGTCGCGTCGCATCATCTTTCCGCACATTTAACGTTCAGTTTATACTGGTTATGTAAAGCTCGATGTGTAGCCTCGTGTACAACAAAATAATTCTTGTCTTTTCAACTATTGCCAGTTTAATAGTTGTTACATAAAATGTTATCTATGAACATCAAAATAACTGCCATTTGAATCGGTTTGAAGTACAACTCACTGGGTTTTGGGGCTAAATGCAAAGTTCAACAAAATCGATTCCTTACATCCACAAAATGTGTAAAGATTCCAAATATGAGATTTAAAAGTCATGTTTCAAACTAATCTTGAATTTAAATTAAGTTTGTTCATTTATTCAGTCTAAATACGATTTCACACAATTCATTCATGAAAATCGACATAAAATAGATTCTTTAACAATTTCTTTACAATTTTTTATTTACAATGGAACTAATGATATTTTAAAATGCTCTTCTTGTGTAAACGAGTCATTTTACAATATTCCCATTCATCCGTAGGTTAGTGCAGTCTTATATCTATGGAAGGCACCAAAATTAATACAAATATTGTATTTAGATACAAATAATGTTAATGTACATTATTATAGCTACATTTACGTGATCTTTGCTTCATACGGGCGTTTACATTGAAATATGAATTACAAAAACACTTTGGTTCTAGGAATATGTCTTTTTGCTATTGTCGCATTATTGGATGTTCAGATAATCTTATATTTCAATGTAAATCGCCGCTACGCCATTAGTCTTTAGGATCATACGATGGCAAAATCTTTGTACATTAAATAAATATTGAGATTTATTGAATTAGCTCATTAACAGCTATATTTACACAATTCCTTGAACATTCCCATCGGTGTAGAGCTTCTTATAGTACAAGAGATATGTTAACTCAGAATGTTTGTTGTGTTCGAAGTAATTTGACAATCCTTGACTTGGGAGTCTAGGTAAGGGGGCCGACATGGCTCATTAGTCTCAGTTGTGTCAAAAACTGAGTTATCGACGGATTCCGTCCGTCTTGTGAGCAGTGGGTCGGCTACTTCGGTCCCGAAGTTGTGACTTGTAGAAGTCGTGCGTGTGATCATGCGCCGGCGCGGGCGAGGACGGCCTTCAGACGACGGTAGGGGGGGCGCGCTGGGTCGGCTTGGGGGGC